TGTGACGAGCAGTCCCGGCATCAAGTCCCCCATCACCATCATCACCACCAAAGTCATGACCTCGGGTACTGGCACCCCTGCCAAGATCATCACAGCAGTGCCCAAGCTGGCCACAGGCCATGGGCAGCAAGGGGTCACACAGGTGAGTGCAAGGTGTCTGGGGGGCCCAGGGGGGCATGCAGCCAGGCACTGACTGATCCCTCTCCCCCAGGTGGTACTGAAAGGGGCGCCAGGGCAGCCGGGCACAATCCTGAGGACAGTGCCCATGGGAGGGGTGCGCCTTGTCACCCCCGTCACCGTCTCAGCTGTGAAGCCCACCGTCACCACGTTGGTCGTCAAGGGAACCACAGGTATTGGGGGCAGTGGGTGGTGGTGATGTGGAGTCCTTCCACTATGGGTATCCCGGAATGCAACGCTTCCTGCCCACGAGCATTCGTACTAGTACCCCAGCGGGCACTGTGGCCCCTGCTATGGGAGACGCTCCACAGTACACTGCTCTTGGCTCTTGAAAGGCCTGGGAGATTGGGATGCTTATCCCAGCGTGGAATTTCTCTCTCATTGCTATCCCACAATGCACTGCTGCTGGGCCCCCAAAGGCCTGCTGGGAATCATGCTGGGACCCTGGGGTTACGCATGATGCCCCTTCCCCTGCAAGCTGTCCCAGCATGCCATTCTTATTTCTGCTATCCCATAGTATCCTACTGCTTGGCCACCAGGTCTTCTGGGAGTCATGTTAAGGCAGGGGTGGGCAATTATTTGGGCCCGTGGGCTATGTAGGGAGTTTTGCTGAGCTGTCACAGGCCAGGTCAACACCCTGCATCGCCTCCCTGCACACCTGCAACAGTTCACCAAAACTCTTACGTAGTACAGAACCAGGGACAGGCAGGCAGTGATATTTGGGAGCTGGGCAGGTGGGTGGGTGAGGCTGGGTGGGTGGGTAGGTAAGGCCAGGATCATGGGGCAGTGACAGCATGGCCCTGAAGCAGAATCGCCATCCACTGCCTGCACACCCCTGCAGCAGGTGTGGCTTCTGCGGGCAGGGGCGGGCAGAGGATTGTGGCTTAGCCTCAGGTCTGTGCTGTCACCACCCCAATATCCCAGGGTCTCCATGGTAACTGTCCGGGAGCTGCATAGGCAGGATGCATAGCCAGGCAAATAGGATTGGAGCCATGGGTGGGCAGAGCGCTGCATCCTGGGCTGGGATTTTTGGGGCTGAGCCACAATCTGTTCCCTAC